TTAAATTTGTATTTAATTTTAAAAATCCATAGGAATTTTATGCCATTAGCAGTGTGTGTGCTTTGATGTTTGGGAAACAAAGTAAGTGTGGCAGGATGTTAATTATTGGGAAACCTTGGTATAACAGAGTCTGTCTCAGTTACTTTTCACTCATTGAGACAAAATACCTGACGTCCAGAATTGAGGAAGGAAAGGTTTATTTAGCTCACAGTCTGTGGAGGTTTCAGTCCATACTCGGCTGGCTCCGAGGCAGAGTTATACTTGGCAGAGGGCAACCGTTCATGGTGGCAAAAGCTGCAAGAGCAAAATGGAGGAATGGCGGAGGCAGCCTCTTTTTCTCCCTTACATATGCAAAACTACCCGCCCCAGGGCAGGTGTAGCTCTCACACCCATAATCAATCAAACTCTAAAAGCCTATCCCTTGACCTCATGAGGCATTGGGGGGACACAGACACAAACCACAACAGAATCCTTTTTCCAATTCTTACAGCTTCCCCCCATTACTTTTTAGAATTCTTCCTAGGTGTGGGAGAAGGCCCCACACCCAGAGCAGACACAGTCCAGACCCTAAAAATATGGACTCAGAACATGAAGTATAGAAGAAGTAAAGCTTTTAATAATGATTCTAAAGAAACGGTTGTCTGTCCAAAGGTAGATATGTGCAATTCAAACAAGCAGTAACCTTTGTACCCCTAGCCCACATGGTCCCTTTGTCCCTCATTGGCTGAAGTTAGGGGGATATAATAATCTTTCCCATTGCCATCTCAGTTTCCCCAGTTTCTCAGAAAACCCCCTCCCTCGCCACCTCCTTTGTGTGTTCTTTTGATTGTAAAACTTCACTTGTATAGCAGTTATCTAGGCCTGACATCTCCTTCTGGGACTTTCTAGGTTGGAGTCATTCTTTGTGGATCAGTCAGTACAAAGCTAAGCAAACGGGCCATCTGTCTATAGTACTTCTTACACTAGGACTCAATTCCCAGCACAACAACAGAAAATGATCATCGACTGCAGGATCAAGTCCAAACCAGACTGCTCGTATAGACCCTTGCTTAACTCATTAGCCTCTTCTCTCACTACTCTTTTGACTCTAGTAATAACAGGTTACTCTTGGTTTCTAGAGCTGTCTTGGTTACTTTTCTCTCGTGGAGACTAAATACCCAATGGCCAAAATTAGGGAAGGAAAGGTTTATTTAGCTTATAGTTTGTGGAGGTTTCAGACCATATTTGGCTGGCTCCAAGGCAGAGTGGCACATGGCAGAGGGCAAATGTTCATGATGGCAGAAGAGAGCAAAGCTACAAGAGCAAAGGGGGAAATGGCAGAGCAAGCAAGCCTCTTTCCCTCCCTTATATTGTAAGCAGGCTACCCCCGCCCACGGGATGTGTAGCACTCGCATAATCTCCATGCCCTCCTCTTGCACTGGCTCAGGATGAATACAAAGTAAGCACACTGGTCCCCTGCTGAGTCACACAGTTAACCTTCTAAACTTCTCACACTGACACAGTGAACAACATCCTAGAGCAGGAAGGGCATGTCCTTTTCACCCCAATAATTGGATTGCAATTATGTAGAACTGCTGAGTCACTCAGCCAAACCCCAAGTTGACACGATGTATCAACCATAACAAGAACATATTGCAATTTCATTCTTTCATGTTCTTATTCCTCCTGTTCTCTCTACCTGGAGGGCCATTCCTTGTTCTCTCTTAATGAAATTACTATTTCCTTACTATCCAGCTGCAACACTAATTGACCCATTAAATTTTTGTGGATTCCTCAGCTTTAATCAGTGCCTCCTCTCTGCCACCTCTAAGTCAAGTGCTATTGTTGCAGCTAACAGAAAATTTAGCCAACACTCAGTAAGGATTTATAATATCCTAGTCTTGGCTCACAAAGTTTATCATACCCCCAGTACTGTGTTGGAAATTTAAGCCCTACCTCCCCATTTTCTAACAGCATATACAAAAGGACTATGGATGATAACTCTATCATCACAAATCAGTCAAAGATCAGTCTCTTCTCCAGGAAATTATCAGAGACAAGCAATGATAAGAGAATGACAATACAGTGGGAAATTTGGCTCTCCCCACGTGAATCAGTCAGGATCTTCACCATCACTTCTGGCACATGACCATACTTTTAAGCAGCCTTCAAGCTCCCAGTGGCTCCAGGATGCACCGTCATCACACTGTGAAGTCAGACAGAATTACCATCCCAACCCAGCAGATAGACATTATAGCTGGGAACAGCACTACACTGATCATGGGTCTGACCATCAGTACAAGGGAACAAAGAATGTCCTCTAGGAATACAGGAATCATGATGCATGGAGCTATGTCTAGAATAGAAGAGACATTAATAGAGATGGAAAATGGTGCTCATCTCAGCACCAGCAAATATTTAAAAATATTATGTAATAGGGACATTTTGGGCTCTTTTGACTAAACCGGTGTAGAATATTTAGAAAAACCATACAGAAAAATTGCCACATTTCTTTATGTTTTTTAAACCTAAGGCTACAGAGAATGTGATTAGAGTTTTATTACATTAATAATCTTTAACCTCAATATTTTATGAAGAAGAAATGATTTTCGGCAAAAGAAAGTAACACAATCCCTAATCATTTTAGACAAGAAACAAGACTGGTTAAACTATAAGGCAAATATTTCAGCTATCTGTTATCCTTTTGTAATGAAAGAAATTTCTTGTTAAGTAACTCTGATTTTGATGTGTATAATGGAAAATATCCAAATTGATAGTCTGAAACAGCTATCTATTTTTGTTAACAAAGTAGAAAATATAAGTTTTCAATGATTTATTATATTAACCATTTATTCAAGAAAATTGAATTTGGGTATAAATCGTATATAAATTCTGTGACATGCTCTTTTGAACTTTACCCTTCATGAAAGTATAATTCTACACATACTATCTCTTTCTAAAATTTTAAGATTTTTCATTAAGTTATATCACTCAGGAAGTTACATATCTGTACACACAAGTTTTAAGTTTTTTTTTGAGGCAAAGTCTCATTGTGTAGTTGAGGGTGGCTTTGAAGTCACTGTGTAGCCCACACTGATTTTGAACCCAGGGAATCCTCCTCCTTCAGCCTCCGAAGTGCTGGGATTACAATTATGTATCACTACACCCTGCTGTATGAATACATTTTACATTATAAATTACAATGTTAATATAAATTCCCTTTTTCAGGAAGAACAAAAATATCAAGGATAGATGAAGTGTTAAAATATTTTACTGAAGATATTTTGGAGGGAATAAAAGATTCATGAAACTTTTATGTGCTGCCTCTCTCATTCAAACTTTGGAAATTTTAATCTGAGTACATGCATACAGGACACATTTATTAAGGAGTTTGTACAAGTTGTTTGAGCATTTGAAAGAATTTAATGTTAACATTTTCTGTTTTTAAAATTTTTAAATATTAAAAAGTTTGAAACTTTTATGTATTAAGATACTATTGCCCTTCCTTGACAGAATTATTTATATAAATTCAGGCTGGAGATATAGCTCAGTGGCATAAGCACTTGCCTGGCAAGCCTGAGGTCATGAGTTCAATTCCCTGTACAAAAAAAAAAAAAAAAAAGAGAGATATTTAAACAAATTCCTTGAAAATCTTGGATCTTTTTTAATACTGTTACTTTTTAATATATTAAAAATGTGAAAACAGAATAGAAATGCATGCTTATTCCTGGTTAATGCAGTTTTCTAAAGGATAGAATCAGTGTTTGACTGGCAGACATTGTGAAAACCATCTGACCTAATTTTATAAGATAGCTTGACCTTAACTGAAATGTTTTAATTGTAGCATGCACACGTTTTAATACTAGAAAGTTTTTGTTTTTGTTTTTGTTTTACAGTGCTGGAGATTAAACCTAAGCCCTCACATATGCCAGGCAAACACTCTACTACTAAGCTACATTGCCAGCTGAAAGTGGTTTTTAAAATTAATATATAATTTAAAATTAATAATATATAATTATAATAATATACAATTATTGTATAATTAATAATATGTATATAGAGTGCATCAAAAAACTCTACAGTGGGATCACACAATGCATATTTCAGGATGAACTATATAAATCATACCCCATATGTCTAGATAATAAGCCCCACATGTTCATTAGACAGTGAAGATGGTAAATTGTATTCTAAATGGTCATTTTTACTCATGAAATGCAATAAAAATAGCACATTTTGCTAAAACCTCTCTAAAAGTCAGAATTTCCTTTACCACATTACAGAGAAGTTTTCCCACTATATATTGTAAATTTTCTTTAAAGAATAGCTTATCACAGGAATGAGAGGGCTTGGGGCATGGTCTGCCTTCTCCCTCTGGCCGGACCGTCATCTCCATCGAGGAGCCCTGGGTAATCATGACTATGGAGGAACAAGAAAACAGCCTGTTGCTAGACACAGGTGCAAGTCTCTCGGTCCTTCTTTTCAATCCTGGC